AACAAAGACTGATTTTTAAAGAGCAAATACTAGTCTGGCTGGTTAGGTTTTAGCTGATGTGTCACAGATTTCAGATACTTTGGAGGAAAGTCTTTGGCATCCATAGCAGGCCTCTGTGTTCCAAAGAGAGCCTAGGGTTTTGACTACAGTAGTTGCCCACGCTGAGCACATTTCTTCCAGTACTAAGTGAGGACCAACATGGCCGACTATGTAGCTATTAAGAGGGTCAAGGAGGTGTGGGGTATAAAGTATCATAATCCAACAGCTCAAAGACTACTTTAGGACATAGGCATTTTTAGTTTGGCCTGCAAAAATTTTTTTAAATTTGAATTTATCAACTTTTTACTGCCAGGAGACTTTACACCAAAATCCCATATTCTCTTAAAAAGGCAAAAAAAAAAAAAAAAAAAAAAAAAAAAAAAAAAAAAAGTGCCAATCTAATGTCACCATGAAATAATTGGCTGGAACTCATTTGCAGCTGGCCCCAGCATGGGCTCCTCAGCCCACAGTCTTTTCCCCGCCCTATGACTCTACATACACTGACTGCCTTCAGTTCCTGGAGGCATCGGAGTCTGCAGCCTCTGTGTGGGAAAGCTTTAACATAGAAGTGTTTGTTAATTTCATTTTTCTTTCACAAAAGAAACATCCCAAACCAGTGCTCTTAAGGAAAGAGTCTTCCAGTTGGGCAGGAGACTGATGAAAACCTCTGTCAGATAGAATTTTTTTTAGTTAATAGAATTTGTTGTAACCAGATCAGCAACGTCCCTTCATCCCAGGCCTCTAACTTGTAGAAATCTCTTTGCTCCCAGAACTGGGTACAAATGATGGTACTTGTTAAAACCAGGCGTGCAGCCGGTGAGCAAAGATTTCCCTCTCTGCTTGCTCTTGCCAAGATTGTGATCTCCTTCCCTAGTTTAGAAACTACATAATTGTTCATTTTAAATTCCCAGTTAAGCCGGTTCATGGGGTGATTTAAAAAAAAAAAGAAAGCAACACCTTTGGCTTGCATTTTGTCACCTAGGTCACCTAGACAAAGCTCTGCCTTTAACATCAAAAATGTAACACCAGTGATTTCCATGAATCCAGTTCATAGAATCAGACTCAAAATTTGGCTCTGCCACCTGCTAGCTGAGTGACTTTCAGTTGTTACTCAACTTCTCAGAGACTTAGCTTCCTCATCTCCACGAAGAGCAGAGTAATTGCTGTTACATCACACAACTCCTGTAGGAACTTGGGATTAAGATGTCAGCTCGTGGAATAAAAGCTGAAACACCAGAGATAATTATTATTTTTATTATGATTGGTCACACCTTCCTGAGATGGCCTTGGCTCTAGCTTGTGAAGTAGAGACTTTGGGTTACAAAGGTTTTATCATTCACACTTAACTGTGACTGAGCCAGGCTTTGATTTGCCAGAATAACAGTGATGATCTTGATAACAATTGTGAGGGCTGACATTTACTGGTTATTTTCTAGCAACAGGTGAAACCTTCCTCCCTCCTTCCTCCTTTGGGCTCTCCCCTTCTCCTCTGCAATCTTTGACATTTGTGCATCCACATGTGATATCTTGGTGACCTCAGATAAGAACATACTGTCAAAGCCTATTGCCTCGCACCCCAGCCGGACACACCATCATTGTGGTTTCAGCCCATCTGAATGCAGGTCAAGAGTTGGTCAAACTGGTAGACTGAGTTAGCACTTCAAAGGGTCAGTTTTTTACTCCATGGCTCCCTCCCTCACACTGTAAGAGATTCAGCATTCCTAAGTCCCTGGCCCTGCTCTGGCACAATTACTGGTAATGCCCTCTCCGTCACTGCGACAACCCAAAAAGTGCTGCCCTGTGTATGAATGTACTCAGTGCAGTTTGGGAACCACCATTAGTCAAATGAAACTTGCTGATGAGAAGATTTCCTAGCCTGCAAACATGAGCCAGACTCTCCATCCATCTCTTGGAAACCCAGGTCCCTGGCCTGTCAGATGGGAGTCATATGTCTCCCCTGGGCCACTGGAAGGACCCAGAGGGAAGGTGTATGTGACATGGCCAGTGCAACTGCTGGCACCAGTAAGTCCTTGGTGCACAAGACACACCACGGTGTGCAGTGGAGCGTCCGCAGACTCTGGCTCCCCTTTCCTATTGATTGTGTCCCCAAGTGACAAGGCCAAGGGGGGTATTCAAACACTCATTCTGCTCTAATTAGAAGTCATTGTGGAATGAAGTCCAGTATTTAATTTGGCCTGTGTTTGACAGATCCTGTATGCACTGCTAACAGAGCTCACTCAGGACCCATGCGTGATACATGGGGGGATTCTTGGCCTGGGTTCAGGGCAGATTGGTGGAGAAAATGTCACATTCAATTAAGGCTGATTGGCTCTGACAGTTGTCTGGGTGAAGTTTATAAGGTACATCTAATCTGGATGCATCTGGTCATAAAAATGCAAAACAAGCCATTCCCACCCAAGTTCTAACTCCAGATGTGGGCTGATTCTCAGTGATTGACACCATATTTTTTGCAGCTGTCCTAAATTTTAAATCTTTTTCTATTTAAAATACATTCATCATAATTATGGAATGCAATAAACAAACTTTAGCCTGATGACAAGCTTTAAATATAAGAATGTTTCGGCTTAAAATAAATGCCATGATTTCTCAGCCCAGAATGGAGGCATTCTCTGAAGGAGCCCTGACCTTGTCACCATAAACCAGACACAGTTATTTTCTCTCAAGTATTGACTGATATTTGGAGGGGACACTGAGGGAGAAAAATCAGAAACCTATTTATATCAGATAGAAAAATGTGCACAATTCATCAGAAAGACACACTTGAAACAGAGAGGGAAAAATATTTGGATTCCGCTTAATTAGGTCTCAAGGAGTCCAGCGGACAGGTTCTCCATCACAAGAAGAGACTAGGTCACCTGACTTCAGATCCTCACTTCTCACCCCACACTGTTACCTTGGGTTTTGCTTCGTCCCCTGAGCTCTCTGTGCCTCTGTTTACTCACCTATATAATGGAAGATAAGACTCGTGCTTGTTTCAGAGAGTAACTGAGAAAACTACGTGAGCTATTGTAAGCAAAGTGCTTGGAACCGAGCCTGGCACACGGGTATTTGAGACGTGGTAGCTACTAAGGTAATTGATGTCAGCTGGCACTTGCTATTGATTCTTCAAGGGGGAAACTGAGGTTTTCAGAGATGAGGTCAATTGCACAAGTTTCATTTGACACTTGGCAAAGCTGAGACTCAAACCCTGATCATTTGGCTTCACTATAAAATATGCATGGTCCATTTTGGTCACATTTGTATTTTTTGTCTCCGTTTACAGTTGTCCTAATGGCTGCTGTCTATTTGCCTCTCATATATGCAAACAGTGTGCTGTTAAGCTTGGACACAGAGTATCCTTGTGCTTTTTTCTGTTGTGCCTGGGTCACCTCTTTTATTTTGAATGCTATCTAAATGAGCCTGTAATTGACAGACTTAAACAAACAAACTCTCTGGTTAATTATAGAAAGGTCTTCCTGCAACCAGGCTGCTGGGCTTTCTAGCCACTTATGGACATCAGCCACGACCTAATGATTTCACCATCAGCGGCCCAGACAGCTTAGTTCCTCGAGAAAAACGAGAACTACCCAGAGTTTGTGTCAACAATCTGCTCCTCTTTAAAATGAAGCCATAAGTCACAAATCCTCTGAGTGCCCAAAGAAGTGTCTGGAGCTAAATTTGTATCCTGACTCTGATAATTGTTCTCTTATTAAGCTGATGAGAGAATTAGCAGAGCCAGGGCCTCTGGGGTTGTGCCCACAGCTTAAGCCAAGCTGGAAATGACTCTGTTTTACTTCTGAGATGTGTAAATGGCTTGTCCATCACTGGGCTTGTGGGCACAAATTCAACATCAAAATAATATGTGCTGCCTTTCCCAGTAGATGGATGACAGAGCTGGAAAGCCCTCTGAATCCAGTAGGAGTGAAATATCTTTGCTGGAAAAGCATGACTGTGTTTTAGTTCCATCAAGAGCTATCGAAATGGCCCAGTGATGTCTGTGAGCCTTGCCTGACCGCTTAGACTCCTGTTTGGGTAAGGTAGTATGGGAAGGTGACAAGAGCATGCCCTCTGGAGATCCAGAGTCCAAATATGGACTCGATCACTAACAAGTGGGGTGAACTGAGGTAAACTGCTCCAGTTCTTCGTTATCTGAAAATGGGAGCAATAATCTCTAATTCATAGTAGGTTGGGTGAGATCACATGTGGGAAGGACTTTGCTCAGAGTCTGTGTAGGAAGCAGAAGCTGAGGTTTTCCTTCAGAGTCAGTGGGGCAGTTAACATGGGTATCCCGTACTGGGAAGTTTGTTTTACTTTTGTAACCAAGATGGCAAATCAATTGTGTTATTCACTTTCATATTGACCAATGGGAGATATCTGCTTGAATTACGGTGATTGCTTTGTAGTGTCTGCCATGGGTGAAGAATGCATGTTCCGTGCATTACTATTTCCCTTTTCTTGTGCAAGTTCTGAAAGCAGGAACTGAGTCTGAAACACAATTTATCTAAAGCATTTTTGCTCTTATTATTGTTCTCTCAAAAGAAGTTTCGGACATGACATGCCAGGACCCTCACATCTCCTTAATTTCTAATATTGTTGCCTTCCAAAAAGGTCTGGAGTTTTAAAACCATAAATACCCTAAGAAGGCAAGGAAAACATTTATAATCTTTTTCTATAGATGAAGGATAGAAGTTTTAGAGAGGAAAATAAATTGTCCAGAATAGGGCAGTGAGACGTAAGCAGAGCCAGAGCTCAATTTGATTATTTATTTATTTATTTATCTATCTATTCAATAAACTTTTTGTTAATGCCTACTATGGGCATATCCTGGAGTCATTATAAGAGACTCCTATAACAGCCACGCCACCAAAATGATGACTATGAGCTGGTGTATGTTGGGTTAGTAATATATAACCCCCAAATATCAGTGGCCTGCACACAGAGGTTTTGTGTTTACGCTGCAGGTTGGCTCCGTCGTCCTTTCAGTGTGTCATCTGGAGCATGAGGCCTTTCCAGCACATGAGAAGAGGAAGAGCGAGGAAGAGGCAGCTCACGCTAACCATTCTGTGCTTTGGCCAGGAAATGATGCTTATGACTTCTGTTCACACACATTAGCCAAAGCTGGCGCTGGCTTTGTTTAGATCGGAGTTAGGGAATCAGGCATCTGTACCAGTGGGAAGGTAAGCAAGTGATGGGTCAACACAACCGTGTCTCCTACGGGGTCTACAGCGGGGTTGCTTTTGTTATTGTTCAGGACTGTCTAACTTCTAACGTCTTTTCCTTTTCTGGTATTAAATCCTATAGGAATTATCAGCTCCCTGTGTCAAATGTGGAAACTGTGGCCAAAGGTCTGCAACTTACAAAGCAAGATTAGAATTTCAAAAGATTATCTGCATGATCCCCCCAGAAAACCTCCCCTGCTCACGGTTTCCTACTGAAATCTTGATACCCAGGGGATTGAGGATTGCACCGTCTGCTCTTCTGCTAACCGGCTGAGCCCCTGGGCAAAGTTGCTTCACTTTTTCAAGGCTCAGTTACCTGTCAGGGAAATGGAGACAGCAATGCACCCTGGCCTGAATCCGGAACATTGTGTGAGAATGAGAATGAGGTTTGAGGTCAGTGACAGTGATACAAAGTTCTCAGTATTGCTGTTCTCTGTGAGAAGTGGGAAATACACCATGTGCAATGATGCATCCACTTGTCAGAGGTCTTGGGATGCAGAAATTACCTACAGAATTTCCTCCAGTGCCACGGGGCAGGCCTTGGCACTTCGAGCCCCAACCTCCGGCTGTCTTTGTAACTTAGTCAGGTCACTCGGGCTCTCTGATCCACAGGCTCTTTACCTGTGTGACTCATGTCAGCTTCGCCAGTAGCACCGCTGAGTCCAGAGCCGCGGGAGAGAAGCCCAAAAACACAGTGGTGTCCGGCAGTCCTCTGCTGAGGACCTGCGAGGAGACCCCTGCCAGCAACTTGGGGTGCAGAGCAGTTTTCCTTCAAAGGAATGGCAATAAGGAAGTGTGTTTGAGTGTGTGTAAGAGAGTGTGTTGGCGGTGGGCGGTGGAGAAATAGAACAGTGATGGGGAATAAGCAGCAGAGCACGTTGGTGACTTGCAGATGAAAGCTGCTTTTAGCTGAAATCATTAGCCTTGTACACATCAGCACTGCTGTGTTTGGAAAAATACTTAACTTGCAATAGGATGCCAAACTGAGACAGAGACAGAGACAGACAGACAGACAGAGGCACAGACAGACAATTTTTGAGATGTGGTCGCCCCTTTTTTCCTAAGAGAAAAGGGCCCAAGGGAAGGAGGTGGTTGATCCTTACAGGTGATATTCTCTTTGTTTGTTCTCTGTGTGTGAATGTGGGGAGGGAGTCAGGAGCAAACCATTTTTGCATGTGATTCTGAGAGATGCAGAAAGAAGAAGGGAAGAATAAGAAGCGAAAACCCGGAAGTGGGAAGGAAAGGACAAAGAAGGACCAGAAAAGGGAAAGAGCAAAAGATGGAACAGGGTGAGAAGGGCAAGAAGAGGGAGAGGGAGGTGGAGGGAGCCCAGAGACGGCAGAGGCAGGGGAGGAGACCAGCAGAGGGGCAGGAAAAGCCAGGAGACATGGACAGAAGGGCTGCAATGCAGACAAAGGGGCTTGGGGTGGAGACACTGTCCCTTCCTCTTGAGCCTGGCTTTCGGCACCTCAGCCTGGAAGCTTCCCTTGGGCCACCTGCTCCACTGGCCACATCTGCTGTGTTGAAAGGGCCCATTTCTCCCGTGGAGCCAGACCACAGAGTGGCTCAGCTTGGGCTTCACGGCCAGATGCTGAGCTCACACCGAGGCGCCCTCTGCCTGGCTGTTGGTGAGGAGAGGAGCCAGGCTTTGCAGAGCATGTTACCCCACCTCACCTGCCTGTGACGTCAAGACAGGGTCTGCCACAGGCTGCGCCTTATGGCCCAGGAAGTGGGTATGAAATCAGTCTGGGCCAAGGCATTGGACAGAGCTGGATTTCCATCTCTTCCCAGTGGCTCTGGCCCTGTGGTTTGGAGCCTCAGTTTTCTTATCTGTGAAATGGGCCTAATAAGAAAATAAGTCTAATGGATGATGAGACAGTTAACAAGTGTTGTGTCTAGTACACAGAGTATAATTGACTCTAAGAAAAAGAAGCACTTGGACCCTAAGTGACCACTTCTAGGCACTCAGGTTATATTTGCTTGTGTTTCTACAGAGGTTGACACAATCTTTATGGACAAAAGAAAATAAAAGCTGCCACAGGATGAGTTGTCATTTTGGTCTTATGACAAACCTGGATTTTCAGTGCAGACCCTGCCACCGCCCTAGCATGAGGGGCTGCACCCACAGACAGGACACATGCACGGTTGGGGATGCGAGCAGGTTTCCTCAGGAGCTCTGTGATTCAGATTAGTGGCCACTCCTCTTTCAAGGCATGCTTCAGTTTCACATTTAAATAATGTGGCTTTCATTTCAGCCATTGTTTGGCTTTGCAAAAATGTTCAAGTATTTGGGCAGCAGTGAGGTAAAAACACGTGTCTCACCATCTACACCGAACTGGTGTATCCTGTAGCTTCCAGGAGTTGAGAGACTTGGATGCCTACAGTTGGCCTTCAGTATCCACAGAATACTGGGCCCCTCCTGAATGCTTCAAATCAACTCTGACTGCAAGTGCTGTGCAAATATTTGTCATGCCCTATTGTCCTGTATTGTGTGGGGAGTACTGATAAGGGGAAAAAAGCCACATGTATTTTTATTTAAAGAAAAAAAGCAAAACAGAAAAAAGGGTAGAAATAATACAGAATTTCAAAAAAAAATTAACGCTAAGAAATCACTAATGATAAATTATACATTGTCATCTTAGAAATAGTTGTTCAAGTCACAAAATTAAAGCATAAATGTGGGTAGTCAAACAGTGAGAATGCAAACCATTCTGTTCAGTGATCCAACAAAAACTTAGTAATATGATCATGTATCCTACACACTTAAACATATATGCAGTTATATCCTTTAGAGCACTTTCTTCCCTTTCTTTTTTACAATAACTATTACACATTTTGGATCTTATTACTCCTTCAGTTTTTATTACTTTTTACACTAGAGAGACAATGTGATATTTACAAATGTGATTCTTATTTAGTTCCCTTATGAGGATAGTCTCCAGTTGCCTCCATTTAGCTATAAAGGCCTCAAGATCATCATTTTTATAGGTGAGTAATATTCTATTGTTTAAAAATACCACATCTTTTTCATCCACTCTGTGGTTGATGGGCATTTTAGTTGTTTCCAAGATTTAGCTATCACAAATTGCGCTGCTATAAACATGGATGCATGTATATCACTGTGACATGACCTTTTCAGTTTTTCTGGGAAAATACCCAGGAGGGGAATAGCTCGAATGAATGGAACTTCCAATCCTAGTCTTCTGATAAGTCTCCATTATGATTTCTATAGTAAAAACGCCACACTTAGAACAGATGCAATTTCTTTTTGCAGTTTCCATCAACAGTCAGTCGCATCCATACATGCATCCATCTAAGGGCCAACCATATACTCAGGGAGACACAACAAGGCAAAGAGGCAGGAAGGCTCTGGGCTGAGGAGGAAGCAGCCTCCCACTGGCTGCTGTGTACTGCACTGCGGCTGAGCCACACTCAGAGTTTATGGTCTGGCATGGAAGGAAATAGATAAACGGACGATTCTGAGATTTCACAGAGAGGAGCCTGAGAGAAATACGCGGCCAAGCTCAGAGGAGAGTGATGAGGCTTCATGAGGTAGGTGAACTCCAAGAGAGGCTCAGAATAATAACTAGGATCAGAGAAGCAGATGAGTGCTCCAAGGAGGAAGTGAGAAGGGAGGGTGGGTTTCAGGTCCTGGAGACCTCGCACGCACGTGATGGAGCACGCCGTGGAGGAGAGGAGAGGGAGAAGGGAGAGCTGAGGCAGGATCGGTGACCAGGATCCAGCAGGGGAGGGTTTTGAATGCTGCACTGACGCATTTGGAGACAATCTTGTAGGCATGGGGAGCCTTTGGCAGGTTTCTAGAGCAAGAAGAGCATGATCAGATTTACACATTAGAAAGATGATTTTGGAGGCCTAAAGATAGAAAGGCTACAAAGAAAAGAGGTATATTGGGGTGACCAAGGGGTGGAGGCCACGGATTCTGGAAATCAGTGTTGGTGGAGAAGCAGCTCAGACCTGGCACAGCTGCTGCATCCCCCCAAGGAGCCTGATTTGCATGAAAGCTAGGTCTCTGCAAAGTCCCACCCCAATTGGTGGGTGGTTAATTGACTTCGTTCATCTAACAGCAAACATTTAGAGTCGCTGACTCCATTGGGAGCCTGTGCTGGGGCCTGACAGGAAGAAGGAGTAAGCAGATTCCTGCCCAAGAAGCCATGAGCCACCAGGAAACCTTGCTTCAGAAAAGGATTTTGTGACCCAGCATCCTTCAAAGCAGATGGTAGCCCTCCCTCTACCCGAGTTTCCAGATCCCGAGTTCCCTGGCTCAGAAAATACACATCGCTGCCACTGAACCCAGACAAGAAGAGCCAGAGCTTACTGATAGTTTACTGTGTGCTGGGCATTGTGCCAAGGGCTTGTCATCCACCACAGTGGTGCCTCGGTTCACGAACTAAATTTGCTCCACGATTCTGGGAAAGATGGTCACTTTCATGTTTGTGCAGAAAAGATGGCCCTGGTCATGTTCACCACCTGCTACAGAGTTTGCAAATCAAAACAAAAACAAAATTTCGCCAAACACTTCTGTTTATGAACCAAGTCATTCGCAAAGGAAAGTGTTCCTGAAACTCTGGGTTGGGCAAGCCTTCTATAGAGGGTCAGAGAGTGAAGTTTTAGGTTTGAGGGCTATGTAGTCGCCACCACAGCTACCACACTTATCCCTGTAATGTGAAAAGAGCCACAGATCAAACAAGTAGGAATGGACATGGCTGTGCCCCATCAAAACTTTATTTACAAAAACAAGGGATGGGCCTACAGACTACACTTTGCCAACCCTTGACAGAGTTCTCAGGGCTCTACTCCTTCTGTAAATAAGGATATGGAAAATGTCAGTCAGGCTCCAGGGGAGAGATGGCCATTCAAGCAGGCAAGTATCAAGGGTTTACGTAGGGGCTATCTGTAAGTGTCACGGGAAGGTGATCCACATGCGGTCCTGAAGTGCTTCAGGGATAGTGCTATGGTTTGGATCCCAAATGTCCCTCAAAGGTTCATGTGCTAAAGGCTTGGTCACCAACCTGAGGCTCTACTGTGAATTGATGGGACCTAACGGAGGTGAGGCCTGGTGGGAGGAGCTTAGGTTATTGGGAGTGTGCCTTTAAAGGAGGTATTGAGACCCCCCTATACCGTGGCTTTGAGCTGCCACGAGGTGAGCTGCTTTGCTCCACCACGTGCTCCTTGCCACAAGCCCAAAGTGATGGCACCAAACAACCATGTACTGAAACCCCTGAAATCAGAGATCAAAATGAGTCTCACCAGCTGGGCATAGTGGTTCATGCCTGTAATCCCAGCACTCTGCAAGGCTAGTGCAGGAAGTTCACAAATTTGAGCCTAACCGGGTAACTTAATGAGGCCCCTCCTGAAAAAATATTAAAAAGTTTACTGCAGTGTCCTGGTTTCAATCCTCAGAGTCAATAAATAAATAAACTTTTTCTCCTTATAAGTTTATTGTCTCAGGT